TTGACCATCATTGATAGCGGAGTTGGAATGACCAAGGCTGGTGAGTAATTTTTATAATCCAAACTCTACCAATCTCTTTATAAACTTTTATAAAACTGTGTTCTAACAATTTTCAATTACAATCTCAGATTTGGTGAACAATTTGGGTACCATCGCAAGATCCGGAACCAAAGAGTTCATGGAAGCTATCACTGCCGGCGCTGATGTCAGCATGATTGGACAATTCGGTGTTGGTTTCTACTCTGCTTACTTGGTTGCAGACAAAGTTGTGGTGACAACCAAGCACAATGATGATGAGCAGTATGTCTGGGAGTCCCAAGCTGGAGGGTCATTCACAGTGACTCGTGATACTTCTGGTGAAGTCCTCGGAAGAGGGACTAAAATGACGCTTTACTTGAAAGAAGACCAGCTTGAATACCTTGAAGAGCGCAGGCTTAAAGATCTGATCAAGAAACACTCAGAGTTCATCAGCTACCCAATCTCCCTATGGGTTGAGAAGACCACAGAAAAAGAAATCTCTGATGATGAAGATGAAGAAGAGAAGAAGGATGAGGAAGGCAAGGTTGAGGAAGTTGATGAAGAGAAGGAGAAGGAAGAGAAGAAGAAGAAGACAATCAAGGAAGTGTCTCATGAATGGTCTTTGGTCAACAAACAGAAACCAATCTGGATGAGGAAGCCAGAAGAGATTACAAAGGAAGAGTATGCTGCTTTCTACAAGAGTCTGACAAATGACTGGGAGGAGCATTTGAATGTGAAGCATTTTTCAGTTGAAGGTCAACTGGAATTCAAAGCCATTCTTTTTGTTCCCAAAAGAGCACCTTTCGACCTCTTTGACACCAAAAAGAAGCCAAACAACATCAAGCTTTATGTTCGTCGTGTCTTCATCATGGACAACTGTGAAGAGCTGATTCCGGAGTATTTGAGTTTCGTAAAGGGAATCGTTGATTCCGAGGACCTTCCTCTTAACATCTCCAGAGAGATGTTGCAACAAAACAAGATCTTGAAGGTGATCCGCAAGAATTTGGTGAAGAAGTGTGTGGAGCTTTTCCAGGAGATTGCTGAGAACAAGGAAGATTATGCCAAGTTCTACGAGGCTTTCTCCAAGAATTTGAAGCTTGGAATCCATGAGGATTCTACAAACAAAACCAAGTTGGCTGAATTACTTCGTTACCATTCCACCAAAAGTGGAGATGAGATGACAAGCTTGAAGGACTATGTAACCAGAATGAAGGAGGGGCAAAGTGACATTTACTACATCACAGGTGAAAGCAAGAAGGCAGTGGAGAACTCTCCATTCCTTGAGAAGCTTAAGAAGAAGGGGATTGAGGTTTTGTACATGGTGGATGCCATTGATGAGTATGCAGTTGGTCAGTTGAAGGAGTTTGAGGGGAAGAAGCTTGTTTCAGCAACCAAAGAAGGTCTGAAACTTGATGAGAGTGAAGACGAGAAGCAGAAGCAGGATGCATTGAAGGAGAAGTTTGAAGGTCTTTGCAAGGTGATTAAGGATGTGTTGGGAGACAAGGTGGAGAAGGTGGTTGTTTCGGATCGTGTGGTGGATTCTCCATGCTGTTTGGTGACAGGTGAATACGGATGGACAGCAAACATGGAGAGAATCATGAAGGCTCAGGCTTTGAGGGATTCAAGCATGGCTGGATACATGTCGAGCAAGAAGACAATGGAGATCAACCCTGAGAACTCCATCATGGAGGAGTTGAGAAAGAGAGCTGAGGCTGATAAGAATGATAAGTCTGTGAAGGATTTGGTTCTTTTGCTGTTTGAGACTTCGTTGCTGACATCAGGATTCAGTCTGGATGAGCCAAACACGTTTGGAAACAGGATTCACAGGATGTTGAAGCTTGGTTTGAGCATTGATGAGGACACTGTTGATGGTGATGCTGACATCCCTGCTCTTGAGGAGGCTGATGTCGATGCTGAGAGCAAGATGGAAGAGGTCGACTAATTTCCAAAATTAACGAAACCTTCTTCTTACATTACCTTGCTTTCTTTATAAACATGCTCTAGTTCTTTTTTGTTTTGCGAAACTTCTTTTTTTAAATGTTTTTGAACAAGATATGCTATCAGTTTTTTTTTTGTTCGTTTTTTTTTTTATGAATCATGGATTTAGTTTATCTATATCTATTATACATACAAAAAAGACCATATGGTATGATTGATTGGCTTGGCTTCATTTACACGTATCCTCATCTCCCTGTCAAAAAAAATAGTCTATATAGTAAAAGTGAAATAGAGAAGGAAGGCAAATGGTTTTTTGTTTAAAAGTAATAAACTTGAGATGAGATATTGAAAAGTCCCTTGTTTTTCAAGAGAGAAGATGTGTAAGAAGTATGAACCATGTTTCTCCATTCTCGGGGGTGAATCTTTCATTCATTCCATCATGTTGTGTGTGAGCTTCCACAAACGTGAACAAAGAAAAATCTGTCTGTACCTACCCACCCACCCATTTAAGAAACGAAAATTATTCATGCTGATGCATTTAAACATGAACAAAGAAAAATCTCTCTTTCTCTCTCTGAACAAATGTTAGTAGAAAACACAAGAAGCAAATCTTAATTAATATATACCGAAAAACATAAATTCAGTCTATGCATTTAAACAATGCCAACTGAAACTTTTCCTGCATTTCAATATAATCTAAACTTATATAGATAATTAATAAATATTTTCCAATATAAATGAAATGTAATAATTAATGAATTTTTCTAGTATAAATTAAACTTATAAAACAAAGAGATTGTTTTACTCAATTCTAGATAACAGGAGTAGAGAGATAAACACATAAAATTTGATCATCTCCTATTGTTGTTGAATCGAAATCACAGACGTTGCTGTGGAATCAAAATCACAATATAAGGTCCAAGATTTATGATCTAACTTGATTTCACATTGGAGATCTGTTTCAATTTAGAAAATCATAAAATTTGATCATCTCCTGTCACAAACGATTGCTGTTAGTACACAAACAATGCAAAATTGAATGGTAATAACGATCACAATACAAGATCCATCTAACTTGATTTCACATTGGAGATCTGTTTCTGTTTCAATACAAACTGATTATGTATGTGATTCATACCCATCCATTCATCCATATGACGAAATCATATTTTGGGTATCTTTATAGAAAATTCATACCTTATGGAACCGAAATCAGGAATGGAATGGTACACTGGTCACGAGGGAGTTATAGAAAGAACATACGGGGATGGGGATGGGGATGGAGAGAACATGCATGTGAGTGGTCTTGTTGTCTGATTTATTTTCTTGTGCCAGATCCATCTATCTGCCAAATGGGCCAAGAAAGCACTACACTTGGACTTTGGCTACACCATGTGCCCAATGCCCACAGCACAATCAATATGATTTTGCTTTTTTTTTTTTAATCAATAAAAAGTTATGTTATAGACTTGAGTTTTGTGGGTTTAGTATAAGAAAAGGAAAAAATGGATTAAAATAGGAGTAGTTCTTTTTAAGAAAAAAGAAAAAGAAAAAATAGATTAAAATTATAGTATACTAGAGCGTATATATTGGTTTTTGTCTGGATTATTATTTTTTTCTTTCTAAAATAGGTCTTGCGATTTTTTTATTTTTAATTTATTTTTCAATTCGACTTTTCTAATAAGTTTACCAGTTATCTGGAACTGGTAAAAAAACTTTGAAAAAATCCTCCTTTTTTTTTTTTTTCACATTTGACAATGTATTTTTTATTAGAATCATTTTCAATCATAAAAGTGATTTAATCCATAACTATGCCATTATATTTTTTCAAGACTCAATTTTTGTTTCCATTTGAATTTTTTTTTTTCCTATGTTCTTAGGCCGGAGGGAGTTGCCCTCACTAGGGACTCGCCTCTAGCTCACTAAAGGTTGCCAAACCCATTCCTTTGAAACGCGCTAAAGAAGTCGCAAAAAATGGGTCCCCAGACATATAACGAGAGGGAAGAGACAAAGAAGGAAAGGGAAATGACTTTGATTGGCTTGTTTCTTGTTTTTTTTTTTTATTTTTTTTTTTCCAAAATAAAAATAAGATAACATTTGATGCTACCACTCCCCATCTTTTACAACTTGGATGCTACCATTTTTTCCATCTTAGTGGCTTCAAAAAAATCTTATGTGGCAACATGCTAAGCATGCTACCACTTCCTACAACCTTATTGTTCAAAACGAAGTGCTAACTTTTGTTGGAAAAATGAATATTAAAACTTATTTATAGGATGTTGGAGATTGTAGCTGGTAAAGATTGGTCTAAGTTGACAGGTATCTTAGGGGATGTTTGTTGTTTGCTGACCGAGTCAGAGTCTTACCCTGGGTCTGAAACTCTAACTGAAACCATATCACAAGTGGACTAACATGCTCGGGGACCATATATCGACTAAAGAAGTTGGCTTACAGCAATTCGTTACAGACGGATCAACCAATGGAATATGAAGTTGACATTGGCAGAATTGGCACATAGCAATAAGGGGAAAGGGCATTGCTCCTACTAGGGCATGAGGATAAAGATAAAGCTTTGTATAGCGAGTTTGTTTTTAAGCCTATGCAACTCTTGCAAGCTAGGAAGTTAAATGGGCATGCACCCTCTTTAATTTGAGATTTATGGATAAAATTGTGATGCTTTATAATGCTTCGGACAATTTACAATGCTTGATTTCAAGTTGAATGAACAAAATTTTAAGGGTTGATTTGAAGTTGAATGTACAACTTTTTATGCTATGCATGAAATTTTCAAGTAGAAATGACAAATTTCCTATATTTAATGAACTAAGCACTTGACAATAAAATACAAACTAAAGAGACAAAACTTATCAAGGGCATAGCCTAAAATAATGGTGGGATAAAACCAATCTTTGTATGATCGAATTCTTTTTTTGTCTATATGACTTTAAAATTGTAAAATCTTAAGATCTTAACAATCATGAATATATCTTTTATATATTTTTGAAGTAAAGAGAGAAAATCAACGAAAAATAATGGTAAAAAAT